TTAACTCCATTATCCGAATATATAGCACATACCAATGGAAAAGGTTTAAATCCATTATCCGAATATGTAGCAGATACCAATGGAAAAGGCTTGTGTACGTCATCAGAATATATAGCACATACCAATGGAAACGGCTTAACTCATCATCCGAATATGTAGCACATACCAATGGAAAAGGCTTGTGTCCATCATCCGAATATGTAGCACATACCAATGGAAAAGGCTTAACTCCATCATCCGAATATGTAGCACATACCAATGGAAAAGGCTTGACTCCATCATCCGAATATGTAGCATAGATCGAATCACATCGCAGTGGGCAGTGATACACATACAGGGAGCAGTATGATTGACCTAAATTGGGCTTAGAGGATACAGTTATTGTAGGTGTAGATCAAATAAGGTAAATAATATATCCGCATGTCGAGCTGGCTTCAGAATTTCGTGGCAGAAAAAGTTTGTTCTGACTTTGAAATCGTCATATTTATTATGTTCAATGATACAATATAAATAAACGTGTCGTATTTATAAATAGTATTCATTTGACAGATATTGTTAACTACAGTGTGGCGTTCTATCGCCCGCAGATGTGGTGTGGACGTCTACGAGCTCTCCCCCGCAAAGTCGTGTGATGTGATGTTGAACAAACACACCATGTCATATGTGAGGAGAACAAGGACAGCCAACTAGCAGGCGAATTGGAGAGACAGAGGATAACGCAGGATGTTGCAGATAGCTTATTGGACAGAGATAGTTGTTGTACCGAAGTTGCTAAGGACGGTATAGTTGTCACAGACCAAGGGGAGCACACATGCTCGAAGTATGGTATACGACTATGATTGGTAGCACGTATACGAATACAATCATATATATCTCATGTGAGGATAGTATATATTTTATTGGATAGGCACTATATTGACTACCGCTGCAGATAGTGTAGTGGTGTGGAGGACGGCTCATCGCATCCCACAAACACAACCTCATCGTCACCGCTCCCACTCCCCCCAGCTGAAACCATAGTGGCCATATTCCGCGTGTCCGACCTATCGAGTGTACCCGCCTTATTTTTTTGGACCTGGTGCGCCCCACCGTATGGCGCAGACTCGTGGCTGTTGTATACCCCAATCTTACCCGTCCGCTCGCCCCTGTGGTGCGGTCCCACCTCTACACCCTTCTCTTTATTTGCAGCTCCAAAGCCCTGCGTATAACTGCTGCGTGTGCCGTTCTCCGCAGTCCTCCGTATTCCATTTCGGGTGCAGTCCATCGATGCACCTCTGCCCATACTTTTGGGCCGTTGGCCCATATCTACATATCTACTCAATGCCTCGCAACTCTCTGGATCGTCCAGGTTAACGCAGTCATCGGCAGTGTGCGGCAACTGGGCACTCTCGTGTGACGGGGGTGCTGCAACACCCACAGCCTCGAACTCGTAGCTGCTCGGTGGATCGCGCATGACGTCGTATCCCGAGTTATAGTTGGGATCACCAAACTCACTACTGGCGTGGTAGTGTGCGTGTGCCTGAAGACCTCCCTGGTCACTCGAGTGGGCGTCTATAGGTGCATCATGTACACCTGGTGTTGGGGTTGAAGCAGATGTTGATGCTGAAGGTGCGCCTGTTGTTGTGGTGGTGGTGGTATGTGCGGGGGTGGTGTGTGTGTTGGACCTGGCGTCTGTGGTTGGCTGAGGGGTGTGTACACTCCAGACGATAGCCCCACTATCCGTCACAGACGGTCGAGGAGTTTGTGGTATGGACTCGGTAGATGAGTAGTAGTCGGTTGGCCATTCATCGGCATACGGCTGGTAGTTGCCATGGTTACGCGCACTCGCACTCTCATACCCAGACCCTTGCTCGCCCTCAGACGCACTCAGCGTGTTGTGTAGCATACGTGACATGGCGCGACTCGGCGTGTCTCTGCGCCGCGTTGGCGTATGTGTGCGCGTGTCACCGTGTATATCCATGGGCCGGTGAGCGTCCATACGCGAGTAGGTGTGTGTTTGTAGGTAAGGACTGGGCATCTGATGGGGATGGTCTGGGTTGCGTGTGTGTGCCTGCCCCCGGGCTCCCGCTATTCGGCCGCTCAGTGTACCGTCGCTCATCTGTATGGCGCTGTGGGGTCTGGTCCTTCGTACAGGCAGTGGGTCTACCACGTAGTACACCTGATCACTCCTCAACCCATCGGTGGCCTCTACAAACCTAGAACTGTCGAGTGTCATGCTTTGTACATCGACCTCTCTGTCCGTATCTCCGCCCTCCTCCGCCGCAGGCGTCCCGATATCTATACACGTTGAACCGGTATGCACATCCTCCGTATGACTGTCCACCCGAGAGTCGGCCTCGCTATCGTACTCGCACAGTCTGTCGGCTATCTCCGAATCCGTAAGTGATCGGGCCCGCCCGCGCGAGAGACTTGGCGTGGGTGGGCCTACAGCCCCCCCGCCGATGACACTATACATGTGATCACTCACCACAGGCGACGCACTCCCCCCAATCGGTCCAGCTGAGTGTGCGCAAGGGGGTGCACCCACACACGCCTCAGGTGCACATGTCTCGTTAACTGTACAACTGGTCCCAGACAGCCTGCACCTATGAGCCCGAGGGCCGGGCCTATGGTCCAGGGCAACAACCGCCAGGTGCGAGTGTGTCCTGGTGCGTGCGTGTGTGTGTACCCGCACGGGCGACTGTAAGCCTATGCTGTGGGAGCGGGTGTGTGTGCGTGTGCGTACTGGCGTACGTTGTGCTGAGGCTATGTCCCCCATGCTCACATAGGTCCCATCCGAGACCATCCCATCCCCCCCCGTCTGGTGGGACCCACACAACCCGCTGGAGAGAGTGCTGTAGTTGAGGTTGCTGCTGAGCTTGTCGGTGGGCTCGTGTTGGGCACTGGCACTCCGTTGCAGCGTGTGTGCACAGTTACTGTGCACGCGATGGTGTTTGGTGATTGGGCTGAGGTAGTTGTTGTTCATGGGGTTGGAGTGGTGTTTGATGATTGGGCTGGGGTGGCTGGGTAGAGGACTGTGTGTGGACGTGTGTATGTCGTGGCTGTCTCTCTTTGCGGAGCGTTGACTGAGTGTGCGGCTTCTGATGTGTCTGGTGGACATGCGCCGGCCCCGTCTGCGGAATTGCGAGGTGCACGAATGAGATAAACAAAAGGACTTTAAAAAGGAAACACTTTGATTGGTTGGCTGGGACCGCCGGTCCTATATATGAGGGATGGGGACAGGACCCTAAAACCCTGAAACCTGAAATGGAAGGGTAGGTAGATGTCGATACACTCGAGAGTTGGCATATTCATTTAGCCAGCACGTAACAGTATGGAGCCGGAGAAAACACTGCTCAAGCTTTAATGAGGGGTTCAACTCATCTTACCTACCTAATTGTCATCTTATGTTAGATACATTTCTGTGCACATAGTACACAGCCATATAGCACTCGCACAGTGAAGGTAATGATCTGTGCACAAGCACACGCGTGCCACTATACAAAGACTGTTAAGCACTGTATATATACGACACAAAAGAAACCACTATTCAATACATCAACAAAAAAGGGGGCCACTATACAAGACTGTTATGCACTGTATTATATACGGCACAAGAGAAACCACTATTCGATACATCAACAAAAAGGGGGCCACTATACAAAGATTGTCATGCACTGTATATATACGGCACAAGAGAAACCACCGTTCAATACATCAACAAAAATGGGGCCACGATACTAAGACTGTCATGCACTGTATATATACCACCTCATGCACACTACCAACACCTAAACCTCTAAACCCACTCGTCACAGATACTCTGCCGCACTCACTCACTCACTCACTCACTCTCCCACCCACCCACTCACTCACTCACTCACTCACCTCTCTGAGTCTGAGCCCGATCCTCTGCGCTGTGCGAGTGTGTCTGTTGAGGTGGGTGCCAGTCTTTCGTGTGACTTCTGGGTTGAGGTGGGGGTCAATCTCTCGTGTGACTTCTGGGCCTGCATGTAGTTGTGCTTGAGGATGTGCTTGTGTGAGCGTGCATGCTTCAACGGATGATGGTTGTGGTTGTGGGTATGTGTGTCAAGTGAAAGTCCTTGCCCACCCATCTGCCCGTGTGCGCTGTTGGTGTTGAGTGAGTGGTTGTGGCTGCGTGTGAACCGGTGCACCTGTTCCTGCAGGCTATGGCGTACGTTGGCGAGCGTGTCTCCGTCCGGCATAGACACAGAGTTGGTCAGCGTGGGCTTCTCCTTGCCCATACAGGGTGACTTGAGCAGGTTAGAGTTGGCCCGTTGGCGTAGTAGGAAGGACGACTGCTTGCTGCTGGAGCTGAGTGTGCTGTTGGATTGGCCCAGACTTGCCTTGCGCCGTATGTCCTCGAGGTAGGTATCGCCGTCTTCGTTCTGTATTGGGTGCGAGTGGGGTGTGTTGGTGGGTAGATCGAATGGCTTTACAGAAGGACTGTATGCGGGGGCTTGCTTTGCTTGCTGAAGTATCTCTATGCGCCTATGTGCCTATGTACACCTGAGGTGTACTTTGCAGTATCCATATCTCTCTATATATATACGCGAACGCGCAAACACACAGGAACATTCAAGATACTCAGTGCATATACTCATGCCACCCATACACATTCAGTATACTCAGTGCATATATTCATGCCACCCATACACACTCAGTATACTCAGTGCATATACTCATGCCACCCATACACACTCAGTATACTCAGTGCATATACTCCTGCCACTCATGCACCCACTTGCTGGCACATCCATGCACGTCACACATACCCGTACAGCGTACGTGCTCTTGCAATGGGGGACGAACAAATGCCCCACATTAACGGATAGGTCTTCAAAGTCGGGTCTGTCCTCGTGGTTTCTGCGCCAGCATCGGATCATGATCTCGTACGCATCCTGATATGCGAATGGGTGTGTTACAATAGTTATGATCTCATACGCATCCTGATAGGCGAATGGGTGTGGTACAGTAGTTATGATCTCATACGCATCCTGATAGGGGAATGGGTGTGTTACAATAGTTATGATTTCATACGCATCCTGATAGGCGAATGGGTGTGTTACAATAGTTAAGATCTCATACGCATCCTGATAGGCGAATGGGTGTTTTACAATAGTTATGATCTCATACGCATCCTGATAGGCGAATGGGTGTGTTGCAATAGTTATTATCTCATACGCATCCTGATAGGCGAATGGGTTTGGTACAGTAGTTAGCGCATGCACAGTCACCCCAATGGGTCATAGGCGGTTGTGCAGTGATGATCTGAGCGTGAGATGACAGTAGGCGTGGTAGGTAGGTGTATTCATCTTTCAAAATGCCGTAGACGTACCTGCAAGCAAGCATGCGATATCCCATAACATAACATAGCGGTAGTAATAGTGTATGCAACCCTAAACCCTCAAACCACAGTCTCCAGATGTCTCGCACACCTAGTTTCGGCAACTTTGCACGAAGCAAATGATCTAATGGAGATAGCCAGGCTAAATATCTTTCCTGGGGTTTGGGTATAGGGTTTAGGGTTTAGGGATATGACTCTTACCAATGGGCATTCGTTGGGTTGTAGTAGTCGCTTGTCTTCCTTGAGATACTCGACCAGCTGGAATAGGTTCATGCCGTTGTACGGCAAGGTGGAGTCGGTATCAAACAACTCCCACAGCACCACGCCGTATGACCACACATCACTGGCCCAAGAGAACTTTTGCTGTTGGTATAAACAAGGGACAGGGGTAGGACAAGTGAACACTTAGACAAGTGAACAAGAAGTGAACACGCAAGTATAGGCAGGAAGCGCGACGCAGACAATGTGTTTGGTGAGAATGACCTATGGACATGTAGTCCATTAGGTGAATGGTTGAACCCGCCAACCAACCCTATTACAAGCATTTGTGCTGAAGCGGAGAAACCCCTCTTGGAGGTGGTTATTGTTGGTTCGAAATCAATTACTTTTGGTAACGGTACGGGCGACTCATTGGAGATATCCGTAGCCGCCCGTCAATAGTGAATTGACAACAGTCACAGCTTCTTCTTCTTCTTCTGAGCTTATATTCCCAACCCAAAAGGTACACATAAACAGTGCGCGAGTGCGTGAACGCAGGTTCGAGCCACACATCTCTCGACAGTATAACGCATTTTAGTACATTCACAGTCCTTTTTCCAAAATATCAGGTGCACGACGCACCTGTAACAGACCCTCGAGAGCAGTCCATCGGGCCGGTACCTGCCCTTTCTGCTCCATATGATAGTACTCTTTGTCGCCATCAAGCATGCGCGACATCCCGAAGTCAGTCACCTTCAGTACAGGATACTCAAACGTGGACTGCAAGGGGTCCCAAAAGTGAACGGATGAGGACCAAATGGGACTGGACAAAATCAGCCCATTTCGGACTAAATAAGGGCAGCGGAGAAAGTGTCTCTAGAATCGGACCATTGTGCTGTAGGCGTAGGTGTATGTACCACACTGCAGTGCTCCCCAACACTGAAAGCCATAGGTGTCCCCGTACTTACTATGTGGTGCTAAAGATGCAATACTCAATGCGCCGATTATCTGTCTCAGGGCAAAGCACACTGGCCCTTACCTTGCCATCAGCTGACCCAACCTATCTGATGCGCATGGATCCAACTTGTACTCTCACTATACACACATATATGCCAAATTGTGAGGTATGTGTATACACACACGTATACCAAATAGATTGGGGTATCCGCCATTCTTTACTATATCCACACATATGATAAGTAAGGATGTACATACACACATGGTAGGTAGTAGGTATATACACCCAAGCGTTCTGCTACAGCCCTTGTTATTTACCTACACGCACGGCAACATACATTCGTCGCATGGCTGAGCATGCAGTTCCTGGCTGCCAAGTCACGATGTACAATGTTCTGATTCTGAAGATAGCGCATACCACGAGCAATCTGGAAAGCAAAGTAGTACTTCTCCGCAATTGTGACTGTGGTCTGTCTCTCGTCTCTGTAGTGGGTGGGGGTGTGGGTGGGGTATTGGCAGTTGAGTGTGATGTAGGTATATAGATGAATGAGCAGTTGGTGTGGTTTAGCTAGACAGATGCATTCATACAACACATACACATAGAGACACGTACCGTTTATAAACATACACACATATATATAACTGTTTTATGTAGACAGGATATATCATGAGGATCTACATATGAAGTATCATGTGATGACTGTACAGGCTATGTGAACAATTGAATGTATGTTTGTATAATTGCATCTATTGTACTGTGATACCACATGTGATTGTGTGTTTGTGTGAACACATCAATTGTACTGTGATGACTGTACATACCACATGTGACTGTGTGTTTGTGTGATTGCTAATTTGAACTGCCCTGCTTATATCGAACACATCAGAAAGGGCGAAGCCCACATTCCGCTGAAGTGGCGCAAATACAAATTATTCAACGAGCCAACTAACACCGCACACCATGCAACACCAAAAAAAACATCTCATACACACGTCTACAACACACACCATGCAACACCCAAAAACACATCACATACACACGTCTACAGTACAGAACATGCAACACCGAAAAACACCTCACATACACACACCATACAACACCGAAAAACACATCACATACACTCGACTACAACACAGAACATGAAACCATCACACCCACTGGGCTAAAACCCAGTAACATCCACTCGGTGGTAGTTGCACTCACACGTACACTCAGTTGAGTGCATGGCACATACTGTGTAGTAGTTGCACTCACACGTACACTCATTTGAGTGCGTGGCACATACTGTGTAGTAGTTGCACTCGCCCGTACACTCAGTCGAGTGCATGGAACATACTGTGTGGTAGTTGCACTCACACGTACACTCAGTCGAGTGCATGACACATACTGTGTGGTAGTAGCACTCACACGTACACTCATTCGAGTGCATGGCACATACTGTGTGGTAGTAGCACTCACACATACACTCATTCGAGTGTGTGGCACATACTGTGTAGTAGTTGCACTCACCCGTACACTCAGTCGAGTGCATGGCACATAATGTGTGGTAGTTGCACTCACACGTACACTCAGTCGAGTGCATGGCACAAACTGTGTGGTAGTAACACTCACACGTACACTCAGTCGAGTGCTTGGCACATACTGTGTGTGGTAGTTGCACTCACACGTACACTCAGTCCAGTGCATGGCACATACTATGTGGTAGTAGCACTCACACGTACACTCATTCGAGTGCGTGGCACATACTGTGTGGTAGTTGTATTCACACGTACACTCAGTCGAGTGCATGGCACAAACTGTGTGGTAGTAGCACTCATACGTACACTCATTCGAGTGCATGGCACATACTGTGTGGTGAGATAGGTGCGTAGGTCGCCCATGCTCATGACCTCCAACACAATGCATGTGGCAGGGCCAACGGAGATACCCACGCAGCTCATGACGTTGGGGTGGTCTAGTTTCTTCATCAGCAGCTGTAGGGGTTGGATGAAAGCAAACGGTTGCTATGACAACGATGCAGTGGGAGGGAGCGGATAGGGTGAGCAGTCTTTCCGTACGCTATGTGTGCGTGTAAGGGTGTACGATCTATAGAACTCTCAGTGACATGTGGAACTAATACACGCATCAGACACACACACCTAAAGCAAACATCGCCTCACAAACTGAACCACACACACTCACACACACACTCCCAGACACGTATCATTTCACAAACACGCACCTAAGACAAACATCACCTCACAAACTCACACACTCACACATACACACATTTCCAGACACCACACACCTAAGACAACCATCACCTCACACACTCAATCACACAAACACACCGCTTCCTTAAGAAACTCTCCCTCATCGTCGTCGTCGTCTCCTTCCTTGGCGAGCCTGCCCTTGAGCTCCTTTATAGCCACGGGAGACTCTTTGCGCATGTCGTCGTCACGTAACCATCCACTGTACACCACTCCGAAGTTGCCGTTGCCAATGACTTCGAGTTTGGTGATGTTGCGCGGGAGGATGGCTGAGTCACTGCGGCGTGCCTTCATGCGAACTGCGATGGCATCAGGGTCATCAATGGCTGTGGAGGGAAGCAGTGTGTGTGCAAGGGAGTATGGTCAATATACGATGAAGTATGGTTAATATGTGAATGGGAAGTATGGTCAATATATGAATGGGAATAAATATATGAATGGAAAGTATGGCCAATATATGAATGGGAAGTATGTTCAATATATGAATGGAAAGTATGTTCAATATATGAATGGGGAGTATGTTCAATATATGAATGGGGAGTATGTTCAGTATATGAATGGGGAGTATGTTCAATATATGAATAGGAAGTATGTTCAACATATGAATGGGGAGTATTTTCAGTATATGAATAGTAGCATGTTCAAAATATGAATGGGGAGTATGTTCAATATATGAATGGGGAGTATGTTCAATATATGAATGGGAAGTATGTTCAATATATGAATGGGGAGTATTTTCAGTATATGAATAGTAGCATGTTCAAAATATGAATGGGGAGTATGTTCAATATATGAATAGGAAGTATGTTCAATATATGAATGGGGAGTATGTTCAATATATAAATGGGGAGTATGTTCAGTATATGAATGGGAAGTATGTTTAATATATGAATGGGAAGTATGTTCAATATATGAATGGGGAGTATGTTCAGTATACGAATGGGGAGTATGTTCAATATATGAATGGGAAGTATGTTCAATATATGAATGGAGAGTATTTTCAGTATATGAATAGTAGCATGTTCAATATATGTATGGGGAGTATGTTCAGTATAGGAATGGGGAGTATGTTCAATATATGAATGGGGAGTATGTTCAGTATATGAATGGGAAATATGTTCAATATATGAATGGGATGTATGTTCAGTATATCACAAGTGTAACGTAATGTGCTGTGGTGTGCGTATTTGTCACATGTCAATTGTGCAATCACAGAGTCGCGCGTACTTGCACACAGCAATGGCATCAGAGCCACCAATGGATGAGGGAGGTAGCAATGAGTGACAACATAGAGTGTTGGGGGATTGAATGCTGTGTGCAAAATTTTCTGGTCATACAGGTGTGTGACCCTATTCATAAAGTCACATGACTTGTTATGACTACAAGGGTTGCTATGGTGTGTGCATTGGATGTTGTTGCTATGGTGTGTGTATTAACTGCCTGTGCCAAGTACATCAGGTGTGTAGTACTCTGTATGTGACCCTATTCCTAGAGTTACATGACTTATTATGACTATACGCGTTGCTATGGTGTGTGCATTGCAATTTTTTGCTATGGTGTGTGTATTAGCTGCCTGTGCCAAGTATATCCAGTGTGTAGTCCACTATACTGCATCTCTAGTACATCCAGTGTGTAGTCCACTATACTGCATCTCTAGTACATCCAGTGCGTAGTCCACTATACTGCATCTCTAGTACATCCAGTGTGTAGTCCACGATACTGCATCTCTAATACATCCAGTGTGCAGTCCACTATACTGCATCTCTAGTACATCCAGTGTGTACTTCACAATACTGCATCTCTAGTACATCCAGTGTGTAGTCCACTATACTGCATCTCTAGTACATAC